TTTTTTCTCTATGTTCGTGGCCAAAAAGTGATATGGGAATAAGGATCATTAGCGATTGATTCGACGTATGACGAACTTGAAGCAAAAGATATTGACTAGTAACTTAGATTCATATTCGTAAACTACTATCAGCATCCTAAGCAAATCAGTTCATCAGCAAACTAATGCTGAAAAATATATATTTGATAAAGCTAAAATACAAGCATGCGTAGACATATCTTGGGGTTGTGACTTCAAAGATTTTCACACATAAAGGCGGCATTTTTGATCACGAGATATGGATCAAATAAAGTTTTCTCCAGACATATTCATACTAGAACTGCCGCTGCTAATCATGAACTGCATAAATGAAAATTATAAAATGTTACTTTCCTTTTGTTGTTCTGAAATTGAGTGTAATTCTCGAAGAAGTGACTCAACTTGATCTTTGTTGTACATATCATACTGTTCATTCACAAGTCCAATAATATGTTTCATAAATATATCATGCACTCTATGTTCACAATGAAACAGATCGGGTCGTGCGTCTTGAAAACTAAACGAGCAACAACAATATTATTAGAGTTCTAGTCTGTCTAAAAGCTGAAATGATTTTTACCGGAATCGAGTTCCAAATATTGGTTCATTTTTATATCCATATCTTCGTTTACCACTATTCCTAAAAACAACATTATTCAGTTAGAGTCTGAGTATGGAGCCAAACAAAACTCAATACCTTTTTAACTCTTCTTTCGCCTCGTCCATATTTCTTGCTTCTTTACTCTTGTCAAATGCAGAAAAACTTCCTAATTGACTAATATTTGCCGTTGTTACTTTACACCATGGACAGAAATACGTACCGCTAACCGCATTGAGTCCAAATAATATCAGTAACATTTTGTAGTCACATGCTAGTCTAAAATAAAAATTTAAATGCTCATCTCTAAAGAATATTCGCTCGGCTTCTTCATGCATCATCAATCAATGAAGAATACTCACGTAAACTTAATCGAAAATCGTTCATCATTAATAATTAATTTTCTTTCTTGAATTATACTACTAATAATCTCATTTGGTGTAACTTTTTTGACTGTTTCATAATCTTCTACGTCTATTTTAAATAATCCTATTGGTAATAATTTGGATGAAATTTGCTGTGTTGAATTAAATTGTGGACAGCTAATACATAATACAAGTAGTTTTAATTTTCCCCCTATTTGTGTCCCGTCAATAGATAAGCGTATCGTCATAGCTGTTCGTATTTTTGTGATTATAGAGGCATTTATATGAATTAAAGTTTTAATAGCATCTTCCATCGTAATATATGAGCCGAATTTTGTATTCTTCACATGTATATGATTGTTTAATCTTTTACGTACATTTCTTATTGACCAGATAGTTGGTATAGAAGAGTGAAGCTTATGTAAGTCATTTATCGCGCGATCAGATATATTGTGTTTTAATTTCCAATTAGTGATGATGCGGTCATTGTCTTCTTTTAGATTCGTATTTCCACGTGACGCGTGTGTGGATAAGTTGTGGTTGTTATCCTCAGATGGATTCGATGAATCGGAAGAATAGGCGTCAAACGGTTCTATTGACTTTCTTGGACGTAGTGTGTATTTAATTGGTGGCTTTGTTGAGGAACTAGTCGATTCGATGGCTTGGTATTTGGCTTCAAAATATTCATCAATTGAATCCCGTTCAGTAGCTTTTCGTTTTCTTTTTTGTTTCGGAACGCCCCATTTAAATGGCGAAGTTAGCGATGATTCGTTCGAACGAAAGGTAGTACTTTGTGAAGCTGGTAAAAGTGAAGATAAAGATGTTGAGAGAGATTTTTCATTAGTAGATGCTGTACGGGATTGATAATTATAATGTGATAATAATTTTACTCTAGATGGTGGAATACGGACGGTAGTACATAAAAACGGCGATGATGATGCGGATATAACGGATGATAAATTAGTCATTCGTAATTGAAATGTTGTTTTAGTATATGTATTTAGTGTAATTTTATGTTTATGTGCTTTCTTCTTGACGTTGTTTTTCATTGCACCAATAGTGATTGAACAGGTTCTGAACAAAAGTTTTTTATCGCGTTCGCAAAATAACACAGAAAATTGATTCTCTATTTCATTTAATATATGTTCAATTAAATTTGGATATTCTAGTCTTGGATCATCTTTAATAACTTCTATTAAATCAATAGTTAAAGAAGAAGGAACGTTTGCCTAAATGGAAATATGAAAACGTGATTGATTTGTTTTTTTGTTTCTCTTTGATCTATATTTCTGTGATGGAATATACATTAAACTTGTGATGAGTACCGCTTCATTTGCACATGCAATTGATTAAAGTTTCGAAAAAAAAAGATGAAATTTGTTATTTTCGTATATTTTGCTCTTTATGTATGAGAAATTCATTTTATATAAGCAGTGCGTGTACATGTAAGAAGAAATTAAATGAACAAATAGATCACATCCAGAAAAAGTTAATCGCAATACTCCAACTGAAATGAACAGGCTCCATATTAAAATATACATTTGCATAGAAATGAGTAAAGAGGCGCGATTCTGAGTCCAAAGAGAGTTTCGCTCACAGATTTTTTTTGCACAGGCAAAGATCTAGGATAAGACTTTTATAGACGCAGATATTTCCTTGAAAAAGCATATGATCACAAGAATCTTCATTGATAGCAAAAACTCTTACAATGTTTGTATTTTGGAGATCCATATCTTGTAGCAATACTAGATAAAAACTTTTAATTTATGTTTTTCTGATAACAGAGAGGACGCAAGTGAAAATGAAATCAAAGTGGTGCATATGGATAATGACAAAATTTTTTACATATTTATTCTTAAACAAGGTATAACATTGTACAAGTATCTTGTATACATAATAACTCTCTCTGATATTCTTTAATATTGTCATGGTTATTTTGTATAGACAAATTTACATAGACATTCTGTTTTTAACACGTAGCTTGTAATCAATAATACAGTATTGTTCTTAATTAAATAACACAAATTTAGCTTTTAAACAACTGTAAACGGATTGATTTGTAATCAGATTATATAGACTCACAAAAAAAAACAAAAAAAAAATATATATATATATAAAACTAAGAAAGTGAAGTAGATATCATTCATACCGTACTTAAGTTGACTGCCTATTTTCTTCATTATTCAACATCTAAATCAAGTGGTATAATCTGTTCTCTCCTCTTTCGTCGAATCTATAACTATAATGAAATTAAGAAACGGAGCTCGGATAGACTATTGCAGGTTGAACAATGGCCTTATTTCATTAAAACATCATAATATCTCAGTACAAACACATATGCCCAACATTCGTCATCAACCAAGTATTACAGAACATCTTCATAACGTAATACAGCAGCATATTTGCCGTGGATTGCGCTTTGGAAGAAAAAAACCAAGAAATAATAAAAGAAAAGTTTCAATTACAGCAAATCAGTATTATTTCTTGAAACAAAATGGTGTACGTGGAGATGTTTACAAGGCTTTCTGTAACTTCGCCAATTCGGAATTTCGCCAATAGATATTCGCCATTGGCGAAATTCCCCGCGACATTCGCCAATTGGCGAATCTCTAGTATGAAATTCGGCAATAAATATTTATTTTTTCCTTAGTATATTCGCCAATTGGCGAATGTCGTGGAGAAATTCGCCAATAAACTTTTTGTTCGCCATAGTGTATTCGCCAATTGGCGAATGTCTAGTGTGAAATTCGTCAATTTTACTCCGTACAATTATGACTGTACTAACTTGGTGATAGAATATTTAAATATTACTGTGTGATATTTTATATTGAGATTGAAAAAAGAAAGATGAACAGTATATTACTTTTAATGATCTAAACAATTATTTTTTATTGTTGTACTTGTATACACTAGAACTAATTTAGTTTGATCGGTAACAATATCAAATAGTACAGCTGAACTATAAGTCAATTGATTCAAATTGATGAATCTCTAGCGTGAAATGCGTCAATAAATATTTATTTTTGGTTTAGTATATTCGCCAATTGGCGAATCTGTAGTATGAAATTCGTCAATTTGGCGAATATCTAGTATGAAATTCGCCAATAAACTTTTTGGTTCGCCATAGTGTATTCGCCAATTGGCGAATTTCTCCGCGACATTCGCCAATTGGCGAAAAGCTAGTTGATGTTCGCCAGTGGCGAAAGGTACAATTGGCGAAACAGTAAGATTGGCGATGGTATATTTCCCCGTTTACAATAGAAACGATGAATTAACACGTTTATTAAAATTGAAACTTAATCTTCGAATGATGAAAGATTTAGAATGTGAATGTAGAAACTTGGAATATCTTGTTCGTCGATTTCATTCAGAAGAATGTGAAACAATGTCCGGCGAAAAAATTCGAATTCCTCCTGCAATTAAATTATATGTTAAATTTACACGTGTTGAACATAAATTATCGTCAGATGGGGGAAGAAAATATTCAAATTTTACATTTTAAGAAACTGTATAAACAGGAACACAGATTTTTTTGGGTTTTATATTTTTTTGTTAAACCACTGCCTGATTTCTTTTTTTTCTATAATAAAAAACAAACAAATTTGTAGGTACTCTTCGCTGAGTACCCGCTAATATATTTTATTTTACTTCATTAAACTGGTAGATTATTGACTAAATTTATTCATATCTACATACAGGAGAAATATATTAGAACAGCAACAAAATATAGAAGATCAAAAGAAAAGGAAACATAACAGCGGCATGTTTGATCTCTATATTCAGAGATGAATGTGTTACAGTTGCCATCTAACGTGATTTTTTTATTCGTAACTAAGCGACGAAAGAGGAGCATGGATTCCAGAGTTCATTTATAAAACAAATAAAGTCGATAAATATGCTCAAAAAAGTTATAAATAATTACTAATTATACTAGACATTATCTTCTTTTCCGAAAAAAATTGTTTTAGTCGAGGAGCGCTATGTTCGATGGATATAAACGGTGATCACTTATACCTAACTACAAAAATATATATCTCTGAAACCATGATATGTATGAAGATGAAACTTTCACAAGATGTGTAATTATTAGTCATAATTCATATCCTAAAATTTCAGCTCGATCCGTCTGGCGCAAAAAAAGTCGATTTTTCAACCTCTCTCATAATGATAAGTCTCGTTGTTTGTCTTGATTCACTTTTAATAAGATTATTTTCAATGTAAAGATTAAGTTGTATTTCTGATTAGTCTTATTTTAGTAGAAGAACAGCACTCAAAAAATGCCCGATAAAGGCTATCTGAGCAACAGTCGAAACATGTATGCGGCTCGAACATTACTCTTTCGTAAGCGCACCCACATTCACACCCTATATAGTATATATCTTATCAGATGCATTGGAATGTATTGGATGATAATCCTAATGTTATGTGGAATATCGAGGTTTTTCAGATGCCAAGTGAACAAAATCACTGTCAAAAGCGACTATGACCCACTAGGCAGTAAACTTGCTGGATTATAGGTCAACTTGATGATGTAATTGAGTCTAATTTTGCAACATATATGTTACACATCGAATCTTCTCTGGATTTATTCAAAGAAAATCTAGACGAAATCAAATAAGCTGCACAACACAACATACAATGCGTTCTTCAAAGATATTTGTGATGTTTCTTATTCAACTCTCTTTCTTGCTTTATTTTCGTCGAGTTCTCATTCGAGCAAATAGAAATTGTCATGAATGAAACTTAACGAAGACAACGACGATTAGCAAACAAAGTTTGAATGTATTCGGGAATAATCTGTTTGATAAACGTGATACAAGCTTTTCGGTAGCCCTCAGATGGTAGAATGTATGCAACAAGTACTGACATTGATGGTAAATATCCAGTTAAATAGATGAATAAAGCAAAATATGGATTTTGATCAAGTTTTGTGCACACAAACCTAAAAGCCAACACAAGACGAGCTATGGTCATAATCTCCAGAATAGTCGGTGCAATTAATATATGTTTATGTTTACTGATTTGGTTTTTAATAAGTTTCCCGCGATTTTTCAAGTTCACAAGCTTGTTATTCTTATTGTTTGTTGTAGTCATATCGCTGACGGCGGCATGGTATTTTGAATTCGGAACTTTACCTATTTTTCCCTTCGAACGAGTAGTACCACGGATGATAATGATACTGGTGATCATATTGATTGCAAATGGAATCGTGAATAAGGTTATATTCGATGCGAAATATAATGTATGCAATGCTTTTTCATCTTTATTGAGAGTGAATACACACCATAGTTTCTGATCTTGTCTATCCAGAACTGTTCGATAATAAATCAATTCTGGTGAACACATACCACCAGTGGATATAAGCACACTTGTGATGATCCATTTTGCTCGACGTTTACTTCCTTGATTTGAATATTTGGTTTGCTGAATCACAGCCAATGTTCGTTCGATAGCTACACATGCATAGAGCCATTCAGAACATGTTGATCCCCATTTAAGTAGAAATTCGAAAAGTAAACAACTTATATTATGTTGTTCAACACTGATCAAGAACATTATCTTACACATCAGTATGATCAAAGTAAAAAGACTGATCAGCGATGAAATAAGTAAATAAAGACCACTACCAACTTGACGAGTACTTTTCTGAGCAAATGTACCGATGGCGAATGCATCAAGTAAAATCCCAATACAAATAACAATAGTTAGTATAGCTACACTGATTTGAATGATAGTTGTTTGATGTCGAATATTAGGAGTGATCCTATGTACATGTGAGCCAAGAATTGCATCGAGTGACATTGCATAACCACTTGTCGTGAATTGACAAATTGATCCATAATTGCATGGTTCGCAGAAACAAAAGGAGCCAGTTGGACATCTTTCTTCCGTTTGAATACATTTTCCTCGATTGCTACATTTATTCCCTAGACACGACAAAGTTTCTAAATTAAAAGTGAAACAATTAGCATAATTTGTCCTATCACAAAGACACAAGAGTTGTTCATCATAAAAGCATGGAAATTTTTCACCAGATATTCGTCTTAAACATGGTTGTTGATAATATTTAACACGACGCAATGGTGGTTGAGAAATTACTGACAGATTGAATAATTCATTTATCGATCGGCAACGACGAGAAGGATGAATCTCGCCTCTAATATTTTCCAATTCATAGATATATCTATCTTCATATGCCACCACTAGGTAAGTGTCAAATTCATCAAGACTTTTATACATTTGAATGAAAATTAGACCGCGAGTAATTGGAGGTGTATTCAAAAAGACAGTAATATTTGATGTTTCACGTGATAAACGATGAAAATAAGTTTCAGGCAACGGTCTAAACTCTACGTCAATAACATGAATCAATGCAATCTTGAAGATCGAAATATCAATATCTTTCGCAAATGATACATAAAGAATTGCTGATGGATCTTCACAAAAATCGCCACGCCATCCATCATCACAGACACATCGAAATTGGAATTCCGGATCAAAGCGTACATCTCTTTGAATGCATTGACCATGACCATTGCAACTATTATTTGTACATGGGTTAAATGGAATAAGACATCGACGACCAGTACGATTCAAAGGACAAATACAAATGTCTCGACCAATATCTATATCGTATCCAATACAGATAGCCATTTCTGAACATGAACTACAATTACCATTGTAGATTTTAGACCATGATGATATTGTTGTTGTTGGAACTGCACCAGCAATCAAAAGACGTTTTGCTATTCGATTTACAGGTAAGAAGTGGAATGGAATATCAAATTGCCATGAACTACGTTTTTCAAGTGTTTGTGAAGTAAAACTATAAATATGTACAGAATAATTGGAGGATGATAATAACGATGATTCATTGATTGGATAAAGTAATGTAAGATAATATTTTGGTAAACATATAAATTGTGGTTCATATAAGAATTGATCATGTGATACAATAGTTGTATTTTGGTGTACCAACAAAACAACTATTTTGAATGATGATTGATGATCAAATGAGTCTGTAATGAACGGTCGAAGAATAAGACTAACTCGTTTACGTTGGTATTGGCAACGGTCACCATAGTAATGATCCGAACACAAACAATAGAAACGGATAGAACTATTTGCCGAAAGGATATGCAATCCTTGATTGCACTGTTGAGTATTAACATGTTTAGATATCTCTGAGATTGTTAAGACTCGATGTTTCATCACATTTGGATATTCTTCTAGCTCATTCATTGTAAAGTGTCCATCGGAGAACTGATCAATTAAGTCGCAAAATAGCTGATGTTCATCTTCCAAACAATGCCGTGTCCACGGATGGCATCGGCAGCTCCCCATATCTGTATCACATTTTACATATCTTCCATCACGACATCGAAACATCGACTCATCACACAACGGTTTTCTTCCATTATTCATCCAAATGCATGCAAGTGTTTCATCATCATTTTCTGGACAATCTTGATGACAATCGCATACTTGGAATGGTGTTATGCATAGATCTGAATTATGACATCGATATCGTTGCATTCGATTATTTTTGTATTTTATTCGACAAAAAGCTCGTTCATCTATTGATCCTACGCAATCAATATGGCCATCGGCGACTTTTGATCGATCTAAACACATTGGTGAACCAGTCATTATATCCAAGCAAACATGTGATTGATTGGTGCAGGATTCTAATTTTGGAGCCTTATATTTACAACCTAATTCATCCTGCCCATCTAGACAATGCCAAGTATTATCACATTTTGTATATTGTGTCAAACAGCGCCATTCATCCATTGAACAGTCTGATTCATCGGTATTGTTATCGGCATCGGAAAGATTTTCCAAAATACCATTGCAAATTTGACTGAAAACTATATTGGTAGAATTGAATACACCACGAAATGCCTGACATTGAATATTGTCTAGCCAAACACAGTGTTTATATCCTTGATAAAATATATCTGTAGGAGAAATAAAGATTTCGTCACTTCTGTCAGAACAATGATTCTAGAATTAAATTTTCATGAAGAAAACTGTGAATATGAAATTCACGAATTTATATAAACTTACGATCCCATCAGCAACTAATGTTTTACGAATACATTTTGCTTCTTGACTACATTGATATCGATAATAGGGAAGATTAAATGAACATGTTACATTTTGTTGTTCATCCTCTCCATTTGAACAATCCTGAAAACCATCCGACAGTCGATGATAAGATAAGCATTTGCTTTTATCATCACATGAAAACATTGAACATTCTTTCGACGAATGAATATTTGGCGGTAATGAACATGAACGAACAAAATGCTTGAATTCTTTAAAGACATCCTTCAAATCTGTGTAAGTTTTATTGTTAAATACATTAAATGATCGACAAATCGAACCATTGAGTATGTGCGATTCGAACAAATTAAATTCATTCATGCTCAGATATGGACATAGTGTTTCATTATAACAGATCCATTTTGGCATCATACCATCGTAAATCAACGATACATGTGTAAATAAAGTGAATGTTGATTTCGGCATTTGTTGAAAATAAAGACGATCCCTTTGAGAAGGGCATCTTTGTGTTTCGTTTAAATCAATATTTGGTCCATCATAACAAAAGCCATCGCCACATGAAAACCACGTTAATGGACACAATCGATCTTGAAAATCTGGTGAGAACATAAAATTGCTTGCGGCTCGTTGCTGATAAATTTCATCGGACGTATCCATACAATCATATTGTTTGTCTAAATAGAACTCTCTATCAATACATTGTCCATTTACACAACGATATTCATTCGTATTATTACATTCATTCATTTCCAACTTATGACAATGACGCTCATCAAAACCATTCGTACAATCAATTTTACCTAGAATAGTACAAAAAAAACGAATTAGATTTTATTAACAAAACTTAAAAAATATGTTTAAGATTTTCTAAATTTCAATTTGATCTTTTTGTGTACTCAAAAAGTGAGTACACTCTAGAATCGGTCAGTGTGTCCGGCCGTCCGTTTACACGATAACTTTTGAAAGGAGAGTCCGATTGCGATGAGATTTTCTGCACAGTTTAGTCTTAACAATATCTCGGTCGAGTTCGAAGATGAGAATGATTGGCCGAACCATTGCTGAGTTATTGCAAAAATAGTCATTTTTCCCTATGAGAAGATAGACCCTTCTCTGTTTTCATTAAAAACTTTTCCTATCATAGTCAAATAAAACCCCAACTATTATATACCATTCGATAGAGAATTTCAAGAGCTACAAAATGGTATATAAAACATAAAGAAACAAGAAAGCTAACTCGCCTATTGCAAAGATAATTAATCGGAATTCGGTTCTGTTTTTGTCCACGCTCTATGTGATCCACAATTAGAGCTCTATCTTCCCATCACAGAGATGATAGTTCGAGGTTTTCTAGAATGGAGAACTCGAATCTATATTCCATTCGTCTCGAAATCCCATTGGTTGAGCAGTGACCAATAGAAATCAAGTTACAGGAAAAACGAGTTTCTTAGGGTAAATCAAGGTGAAGAGTTCAAATCTGAGCTGTCTTTGCCTCCAAATCGTATCGGCTGAGCAATAGCCAATAGAAATTAAGTGTTTACAGAAAGGGTTTGCCAGGACAATTTTGATGTCCACACATTCTAGAATGACTCATCTGTCTCATTCACTTTTTGAAGTACACATAACTCTCGGATTTAAATCCGAGGTTTCCACATTTATTTTTACTTATTTCTTGATGATGAATTGTTACTTACCATCGCAAATTTCTCGCCAATCTAAACATAGAATCGATTGACATTCATTCTTCATAACTGGATAGCAGGTACCGTTTGTAGATGACAAAGATTTGAAATCATTAAATGTCCTCATCGTATATTGTCTATCGATGATCTTGAGAAATCCATTATCATTAGCGAATCTATATTGACACTCTGGTCCAAACCAATTATTACCATTCTTTCGAGAACAGTTGAAAAATAGACCTTCACTGTTTTCTTCTATGAAGTCTTCAATTGTATCCATCGGTGCATACCAATCGAATAATTGTTGAGGAGTAATACCCATTTGACGTAATTGAGTAAAAGTGAATGTTTCGCCATTAACTATTCTTGTATCTGATGAAAGCATGACATTACTATGTTCTGTTATTGTACGTCGACAAAAACGCATCATAAAAATCTTGCTTCCACCTCTGTGATCCACGGTAGAACTAAATCTATTGAACTCGTATAGATGGATCAATTGAAGTGAGCTCCACGCGTAAACTCCAAATTTGGAGCTCACCTACGCATCCATCTTTAAGCTGAAAAGTTCTGTTACTGTATTCTTTTATATAACAGTAAAATCTAGTTCGCCAGAAATCCTAGAGGTTTCATCGAGTATGCTGGAAACTTCCTCTAGAATGCTAGAGCCATCACCTGAAAAGCTAGAAGCATCGCCTACGATGCTAGAAGCATCACCTGGGATGCTAGAAGCATCACCTGGAATGCTAGAAGCATCACCTGGGATGCTAGAGGCATTGCTTGGGAAACTAAAGCTATCATCCGGCTGGCCGTGGCAAGTAACCGTTACCACTAATCGAGGAGAGAGGTAACGGTTCTACTCTTGAGGTACTCTTGGGTCCTCAAGCCCTATTATTGGGGGGTACCTTTGGGTCTTCAAGTCCAATTATTCGGGGGTACCCTTGGGTCCGGAAGTCCTATTATTTGGGGTACCCTTGGATCCTCAAGTCCGATTATTGTTGGGCACCCTTGGGTCCTGAATTCCTACTATTGGGGTACCCTTAGGTGCTCAATTCCTATTATCGGGCGGTACTCTTCGGTTCTGAAGTCCTATTATTGGGGGTGTTCTTGGGTTCTCAAATCCTGCTATCGGGGGTACTCTTAGGTCCTTAAGTCATAGTATTGGGGGTACCCTTAGGTCGTGAAGTCCTATTGTTGGGACGTACTCTTGGGTTCTCAATTCCTACTATTGGGGATACCCTTAGGTCCTCAAGTCCTATTATTGGGGTACCATTGGGTCCTCAAGTCCAATTATTGGTGGTACCCTTGGGTTCTCAAGTCCTATTATTAGGGCGTATCCTTGGGTTCGCGAGTCCTATTATTGGGGGATACCATTGGGTCCTGAAGCCCAATTATCGGGGGTACGCTGAGGTCCACACGTCCTATTATTGAGGGATACCCTTGGGTGCTCAAGCCCTGTTATGTGGATCACCGTGGGTCCCGAAGTCCTATTATTTGGGGTACCCTTGGCTTTTTATGTGCTATTGTTGGGCATATGCTTTGGGTGCGGAAGTCTTACTTTTGGGGGCCCCCC